GGGGGGGGGGGGGGGGGGCAGGTGGGAGGTAGAGGTGGTGTGGCGAGCGCGTGTGCCGGTGGTATCCCTCTCCCGAAGCGCCACAAGTAAACACACACGGGTTTTGGTGGATTCCATTCCAACGAACTGATGCACTCATTCCCTCGTGTGTGTGTGTGTGTGTCGACAGACTATGAGGGTGCTGATGGCACGGATGTGTCCATCGACATCACGTACAACCATGCGCTGGTGATCCATAACTCCAACCTCCTGCGGCGATACAGCGACCTCGACACCACCGGCACCACTGCCGCACTCGGACGGCTCGTCAAATTGTGGGCCAAACGGTGGGCGCCATCACGTGACATACATATGCCACACGTGTGTGTGATCCTCCCTTGTGCGTGTGTGTCTGTGTGTGCAGGCGAGGCCTCTTGGGTGCGCGTGATGGCTTCCTGTCGAGCTATGGGTGGGTGCTGCTGGTGCTGCACTTCCTGCAGAAGAAGAGACGGCTGTTGCCCAACCTCCAGCAGCCGCACGGCCAGAGCGACAACCAGCCCCAGCGACTCATCATAGAGAACGGGGTCACACACAACGTCTGGTGCCGCCACGGCGGCCCCCATGAGCTGCGTCTCGATCCCTCGTCCCCATCCCACTCCCTCTCGTCGCTCCTGCTCTCATTCTTCCACTTCATATCGACCTATGACGCCCACCGCAATGTCGTCGATCTGCAGCACCCCAACACCACGACAGCGTCCGGCGGGAGGCCGCCGTCGCAGGGCCGTTTTCGTGCAGGCAGACGGACGGCGGTGCGGCTACGTCTTCCGATGCACGCGAGGAGATGTACCGCACCCTGCTTAAGGAACAGCGGTTCCCGCATCTGGTAATGCCTTCACTTGACTGCATACAGCCAGGTGTGTGTGTCATCCATTCATTGGACGTGTGGTGGTGTGTGTGTGTGATCCATCGATCCATCCATCCATCGCAGGCCGTCGCTGATCCCTTCGAGTGGTGCCGTGTGCTCTTCGTGTCCTTCCGCGCGCAGAGTCAGATCCTCAGTGAGGCCTCTCGCGGCATCCGGCTGCTCATGAGCGGCCAGGTGGACCAGCTCTTCGAGCAGACCACCGAATCGCCAGCCGCCAGCCCTGCAGATGAAGACACATTCCACGCACCAGAGCGCCCCCAGGCGACACACCCAAGGTGAACGAACGAAAACAAAGCTCGCCTGCCCACCTGCACACCGACACACACAGACACACGCCTGCATCTTTGTGTGGATCTTGGTGCAGGTTGGGAGGGGATGTGCCAGACTACTATGACGATCAGGGTGATGTCGACGCCCTATACCCCTTCTCTGCCGACCCCAACCTGGCCGTCGACAGACCAGCAGCAGCGGCCGACCTCTCAGCGGCAGCCCCCGTGTGGAGCCGGCCGCTGACGGATGAGATGCAGGACCAGATGACGCGCCGTCAGAACCAACAGGAGATGAAGGAGCGGCTGCTGCGCGCGGCAGGCACCTTCGCCATGGCTGACGTGCTGGCCTGTCAGGGCGACTACCACCCGCCCAGCCCTCTCCAGCCCATCCCACTCTCATTCGACTCCTTTGAGCAATACCTCAACGTACGCACATGGGACAACGAACACGAGAGACGGAGGGAGGGAGGGGGGCAATGGTGAGTATTCCTGTTGCTGTGGTGTGGTGTGTTGGTGTGGTGATGTTCAGTGTTCTGTGGAGCCCCTGCTCGCAGAGTGCCGTGCATCGGTTGCCCAGGCGATCCGGCGGCTGGATGGTGCCTCGGCAGCGTACGATGTGAAGCTCAAGAGCATGGCCAAGGACAACGAGCGGCGTGCCAAGGTGAAGGAGGCTGACGACATGGACAAGTACAGGGTGCTCTACAACCCAGACGACAAGGCCTGGAAGTCCATCGACGCCAAGAAGACACACAAAGGCCTCCAGAAGGCTTTTCCACACGGTGCGCATGCATACCGACCGACCGACACACGTACATAAATACACGTGTGTATGTATCGTCTGCCATATTTGCCTTCTGTATTTCATTCAGCTTCGGTCGCCCTCTTCACGACCGCTCAGGGCTCCCGCGCCCTCTTGCGTGGCTCTGGCGCAACCATCGAGGAGGGTGACGAGGGGCCCGGCGAGAGCTTCTTCGCCTTCATCATGTGGCAGCGCGTGAAGAATGACGACAGCAGCAGACTCATTGCCCACTTCTTCCCGGGGCCGAGAGCCGCGCGGCTGTCGGATGAGAGCTTGTCGTGGCGGCTCTATCCCCTGAACAGCTGTACCATGACGGATGTCCGCGTCATGGAGGCGCTGGGGAGCGGCCTCTCGCGCAAGCCCGTTTTCTGGCAGCAGCTGTCGCGGAACATCAGGTAGGTCTGCTAGATGGAGATGCATCATCAGGACACGCAAACGCATTCTTTTTTCTTTTTGCCTCTGTGTGTGTGTGGTCAGGGCGATGCTGGTGGAGGGTCAGCAGGGGCACCACGGCGGGCCGATATGGACACACGGAGCCGAAGCCATACAGGAGGTACATACAGAGGCCGACAAATGAGAATCCACCAAACCGACCAATTGCGTGTTTATCAGGCGCTTGGTGCATGGCCGCTGATCAACGAGGCTCAGAAGATGGCGGTGCAGGAGGCCCTGCTGCGGCCGACCGGCATCATGCCCGTCCAGGGGCCGCCAGGCACCGGCAAGACGACCTTCATCGCAACCTTCGTCTACTTCGTCGTGTCGTGCGAGAGGTAAGGGAGCTGCTGGCAGGCAAGATCACATCCGTCACACGCCCTTCCTTCTCTGTGCATGCATGTGTTGTTTCAGGCCGGTGATGGTGTGTGCGGCGACGAACGTGGCTGTCAAGCACGTCGCTCTCAAGGTGCTGCAGCACATCGAGGCCAAGCGGTCTGTGGGCGGCTTCCAAGTGGTGCCCCTCTTCCGCCTTCTGCTCGTCGTCAGCGAAGAGGACACCGAAAGTATCCACCACACACCACTCGCACACACAAACGCAGAGAGAGAGAGAGAGAGTGGGGCGAGTTGCGCATATGGGCAATGACTTTCTTGTTTGGTTGGCAGAGTCGATTGAGTTCGACAGTCCGCTGTCCTTGATCCACCTGAACCACCGCAAGAAGCGCCTCAAGCGAGTGGCCAAATACTGGTGGCGCGATGACCCCACCAGCTCGCTGCAGATGGTGGACAGGTCGTGGGACGACCTTTGCGCAATCATGGACGAGGGCAGCACAGTGTGGATGAGCGGCGATGGCGACGATGGGGAGCTCTACAGAATGGCCGACCGGCTCCTCGAATGGGCTTCAGGTGCGTCGACGAACGATGTGTGGATGCAACCAACATGCCCACTTATTCTTCTGCTGTGCTGTGCTGTGCTGTGTGTGCAGCCGAGGGCGGTGACGTCCGTGAGGCCTTCATTTCGTGCATCGAGCAGCTCAAGGACACACTATCC